TAAACACAAAACGTATAATGATGTCCTAGCAGGCAGAGTATATTTGTGATAAAATATAAACAAGTAGATCAATCAGGCATGTAATGTTAAACTGGTATTAGTATTCAGACAAGATCTAAAAGAGCTTTATAACTACAGTTACTTTAAAAATTTTGCCCTTCATTGCAGAATGTTGTTTCCTATCACATAAATCAATTTTTTTTTCCTTCAGCAGGGAGGGGTCTTTGGAGTTAGACCCAGATGTGCCAGGACCATCATCAGCAACTTCTTATTCTGCAGAACCTACAAGTACTGATGGTAACTTTTGAAAAAAAAAATATATATATACATATATATACACACACACACACACATTATATATAGTTTCTGGTTAGGTTTGCTGTATATGTGGTATTTTACATAAACGGAAAACATTGGTGTATGTTTTAGGACAAAATTGATGTATCTAAATGTAAAATTTTGTTACTTATGAATTTGCCAGCATGGAAAGCAGTTAGAGATCCACAGAAGGCTGTTGAGCTGTTTGTCAGACAACTGAAGCTAGTAGGAGTTAACCAGAGGACACTTGTTCTCACTCTGGATGCGATGGACACTGATGAGGAGCGGGATATGTCTCTCATATCTTTTTATAAGCACAAGCGTGAGAAAATCCAGTGGGCAGCTCCTTTTCATTGTCGCATTCAAGGTATTACTTCATATCAGCTTAGCATTACTTGAAAACAGCTCTTTCATCTTACCAGGCTCTTTTATTGTAGGTGATGCTGCAGTTGGTAGAGGCGTGACAAGACACATCATCTCGTCTGCCATTGCCAAGCTGAAACAAGGCTTTAAAATGAACTTCGGTATGTGCTAAACAGAGTTCTGAATTAATTAATTAAGCTATGCATTTGTGGTGTCATCTTATTTGGTACATTTAATTTAACAGTAGACATATCTTTTCTACATTTTTTAGGAAATGCCGCAGTGACTGCAATGTTTGAAGGGGAAACTGATCACCTTGTACCAACTACTTCAGCAGTGCTTGTTGAAAGTGAGCTGTTTGTCATGGCTGGTCGGCTGATTGGCCACTCTTTAATTAATGGAGGTCCAACCTTGTCAGGCATCAGCTTGGCAGTAGTGCATGCCTTGACAAGTGGTTCAAAAGAGTTGGCAACAACATACCTTTCCCTAGAGGACTGCCCAGATATTGACCACAGAGATATCATTGGTTCTGTAAGTAAACAAAGTTAACTAATCACAATCTTTAACATGCATCAGAATTATGCAATCCAGATAAATTTGGATGTTTTACTAAATACTATATTAATGGTTTTTTACCAGCTGCTGAAAGAAGAGATGACTGAGGAAGAGACTTCAAGATTGTCCAGTCTGTGTATGGAGTGGTATTTCCCTGTGCCAACCAAGGAGACAAACAAACTTCTCCTCTTACAGCAACTCCTCACCCATGCTGTAATAAAAATATTAACTTTTTTTTTTCATTAATTGTCTGGAACTGAAGAGTTAAATGTGTTACTTAGCTTCAGTAACCAATGTCCTAGTGTACTTGAGAAATAATTATATTTATTCTGAACATTGATGCCACTAATAAAGTATTATATTTACAGGCTATCACCCGACTTAGTGCGCAAATAAAGCACCTGAAAAGGGGACTTAAAGAAACGGGTGTCTGGCCACTAATTACATCCAGACTTGATGTTGTTCCACTCCTCTTCCCTAGGGAAAGTGAAGTCGAAATCACGCCCCAGGTGAATGTACAAACAGTTTTAACATTCTAACGACGTATCTGAATATAAGCTTTTACTATGAAACCTTGTCTGAATATTATTACTTTTACACTATTTCTACAATTACAGATGGTCCTGCAGTCAATCATTTGGCCGCAGGCGAAGCAAAGTGATGACAGTGACGACAGCGATGATGACTTGGAAGCAGAAACTACGCAGGTGACAGGGTTTTTCCATCAGTTTCTCGAAGAAGGTAAAATGTCTGCATAAACATTTGGACAATGTTTATATGTTATTTTGAGAATGATTAAAGACATGCTATGCATACCAGCATAATACAGTATATTTATTTTCTTATAATCATGTCTTACAACACTGCAAAGATAAAGCTGAAAAATCTTTTCTGGTTGATTAGTGAACATGGCAAAAGGTAGTAAAATGATTTTTGAAGGATATCAAAAGGATATCCATATGAAGGACATTCATATGGATTAGTTTCTTAGAAAAGACATTCGCATAAAGTCATATCTCAAAGTCAGCTTTATGAATGATTCCATTCTACAGGAAACTCACCATGTGTGTGTGTGTGTATATATATATATATAAAAAGATTGATACGTTTTATAGCATCTTCAGACAATCTGCGCCAGCTCATGAGATTTTGGGTTGGCTGGGAGGTTCCATGCCAGGAACTGAAGCTTGAAGTAATCCAGTCAACTGGACCAAACCACATGCCCACTTCATCCACCTGCAGTGAGCGTTTACGCCTTCCAAGCCATTATTCTACCTACCAGGCTCTGTATGCTGACATGATGGTGTGTCTTAAATCGGTTGAAACTGGCTTTGGTCTTGTTTGAGAACTTAATGTACTGGTGATTAATTTGTTCAGTAATTGCATTTCAATGTGGTAATTAAGTAAAAATACAAGGGAAAGTGAAGTCACTTTATTATTATTTTACAAATACTGTTCATCATTCACTGCAGTTGTGTTGTGTTCTTTGAAGTGACTACTAAGTACCTGAAATGTTTGTCAAGCATTCCTGTAAATTTTAAATGTTAGAGCAACTATGTTCAGTTTCTGAGTCAGCACTGTTTGTTCAGGAAATATGAAACAGAAATTATTTTTATGCAATATTTTATTGAATGTTCATCTATGCTTGAAGTATTTGAAAATAAATGACATGAGACAAACTTGACTTTCCAATTCTTATAATGCAAGAACATTAAGGTCCTACACAAATGTACCTACTAGGTTCCTTTTGAGTGAAGAAAAAAACAATCAATTCACAAATTTAGAACATTTTAGTTCTTTAACATGTCTACCATAAAAGCACTATAATTCACTTTTCCAAAGCACAAATTTTACCTTTTTGGTAATATGATCAGCACTTAGTTTTACATTTCGTAAATGCTGAATTTTGGAACTGGAATAGTTTCACAGAGTAAAGAACTGTTCACAAAACTGAACTGCAGCAATGTAAATGTCACAACCAAAAGACAGTGATGTGTCTTTTGGGTTTACTGCGTCTCTTAAGGCTGCCATTTGTTCGTCAGTCAGTTGCATATTCAAATTTGGCACTGTGACATTTGACTCTTCCTG